CAAAAACAGCTACATTATAAAGTGATGTAAAATACTAAAAACAGGAACATGTCTGTTGGTTTATGCCATGAACGTAGCAGATGTTTGAAGCCATTTATTATTTTATTTAATTCATTTATTCATTCATTTAAAAGAAATAAACAAAAGAGGTTGATTGAAACAATATTGATGATGATATCAGAATGGCATGGCTATAGGCCGATATCTAGATTTAGGTATCGGGATCTGAAGTTAAAAAATGTGGATGGGTGCTAGTTCGTTTCCGCCCACACCTTCATCATCCACGAGACACGGGCGCAGAGCTCCTGCCGCAGCATACGTCACCTACTCTGAAGAGAGCGCCACTCTTTTCAGCAGACAGACTCCTCCATACACCATGTCCGCACCATGTCCATCCAGGAGTTTTTGGCCTTTTGACTCATTTCGCGTGTTTGAAGGGTCGTACAGCTGAATGTGCGAGCTCGCTGATGAACACACCCACAAACTTCTGACCAATCACACACTGGCACGTACGCCTGACAGAAAAAGTTTGTCCTTGTGCTGAGAAAGCTGCTCTCGGAACAAAATGGTGTGATTTTCATCACTCAACTACGTCCATAAGAGCTGATATCACAGCTTTGGCTGGAGTATGCAGGAGATATGGTGACAACCCCCCAACCGGGCCCACCTGGAAACTCGTATCAGGCCACGCCACTGCTCGTAACTCCAAGCAGAAAAATTTGACAGTAAATTATGAAATCTGTCCCTGGGGCGTTTCGGCTGTTCGTCTCACATGGTGTCGGTGAACCGGACGTCATCTGCACATTTACCTCAGCAGCTGGGTCTGGAGGAGTTTACCACAGGAAGACTCAAACATTTTGGGGAGGATTTCTACTGCTTGTAAAATGTAGGCAGGTTTTTGATGACACCTTGCTTCACAGCAGGGGGCTTTCAGCAATGAACAGTTCTTACTCGTTTTGCTGACGGGGTTGTTCACATGTCGGCGCTCATTCATTCATTCAACGTTTATTTAGCCAGGTTGGTCTCACTGAGTCACGAGGACTCATTCACAAGAGAGACCTGAAAACAATAAACTACAGTAAAAATACTGTAACACGTCTGCATCGATTTTTGCGTTGAACTTAACAGCTGTTTAAAATCCCTACGGGAGGTCGAAGTCAAGAGCTTCAGATTTTTTTGCAAACCGGGATACAGTAGCAGAGTGCGAGCAGGCCTTTTGATGAATATGGTCTGCACTGAGGGAACGCTGCAGGTAATGGTGTCCTGAGAGCGCACGCTGTAGCTGCACTCACACAGAGACATGTAGGAGGAGATGTATGAAGGCAGCAGACCAGGAAGTGATTTAAAGATGAAAATGTACCAGTGAGAGAGGCTGTCATGTGTGCAGCCTGAAGAGAAAGGACCCAACATGGAGTTGGTGTATCGGGACAGTCCTCTCTGTCCTAAGATGTGTCTCTGAAGCTAAGAGAGACAAGTTGGACACCAGCGTTCAGGGCTTTGGATCAAAAGTTTGAACTTGCGATTGGCAGAAAGCTCACAGTAACCCAGATACACAAATATCTCTCACACAATGACAACCACTGGCTGCGTTTGGCCCTCAGCAAAGATTCATTAATATCCATCAAACAGTTTTATCCACTGGATGCATCGGCGTCGCAACAATTATATGTGAAGGGGATGTGTCCCCCCCCCCCCCCCCGCCCACACACATTTAAAAATTATTAATTAGGACCCACCCACATTTACCATGAAGTATTAGTTCACCCAGCACTGTTTCTATTTCTTCATGAATGAATCCATTCCACTTGCTTAATAGGAGAGTGCTTAAACCACTAAAAAATCCACTCCGGGTTTTCCAGGTTACCTACAACAACTCACCACACCGAGTGTTTCCCCGAGGTCATCTGCCTTGGCAGGGCAGAGACACCTCTGTTTTGAGTGCTAACTTGGCACCACGTTAATGCTGGTGGGGACGCTTGAGAGAGGCCGAGCGTGTATTATTCACACAAGGAGAGCTGTTGGTCAGGCTACTTCTTGCTGCTCTTTAAAAAAGTTATTGAATCAAGTGTTTACTTATGGAGGTAAATGTATATGTTTAAAAACTCGTTAAAGTACATCAGAATGCAGGAAATTGCATCTACATAGTTCAAAATTTTGTGGGGGAGGGACCCCCCACCACCACATACACATTACAAATACTTCTGACACCAATGACTGGATGACCTCCAATGGAGTGCTGTGTTGGTCTCAGGGCACTGAACAGAAACATTTAGATCCATAGAAAGGCCAATTACCGTAGTAAAGTCCTCTATCTAAGGAAGCCTGATTCAACGAGTCTGCTGGTTTCCTTAGAGAACTTTACTAATTGACTTTTGTTATTTACTGCTCCTGTACTGGACTGAAGCATCTTTGAACGATGTGAATGTGTCTGAGATTATAATCCAGGCTTCCTGTTCTCTGCAAACTGACGGTGGCTCAGTGTCTTACATCAGGCGGTTGTGTTTGCAGCTTCGTGTGTCTGGACACCTGTTGCAGGAACGTTCATGTATATGATGGTGAGACGATATGAGGGCTGATGAAATGAGCAGTACCTTTCACCAGTGTTGTAGGTTCACAACTAAACCTCAACTAGTTGTGTCTGTGTGCTCCAGTGAGCGCACACCTCCAGCTGTGACAATAAACACACGCCACTCTGTTTCAGCTCTTGGCACAAACTGAAGATGATCTGGTCTTTACCAGGTTCTAACCTTATCAAGTCTAACCCCAGGTGGACAAACACACACTTCTGAGTCGTTCTTTGTTCAGCTCAATTAGAAACAGTGTGAAGAACTGGTTCCAGCTCCTGGTCCTCCAGCAACAGAACCCTCAGTGGGTTTCTGTCTCTCATGGTTCTGGAGGAGTTTTGACCCATTCTTCTTTCCATCGTCGAGGTTTCTGCTCAGCTCTCTGACGGTCACAGCAGTTCAGTTAGTTGAGGCTCTGGACTCTGGACCTTGGTTCTGTTCTTTCTGACCCATTCTGTTGAAGATCAGCTGCTGTGTTTGGGATCATGGTTCTGTTGGACCCCGTTTGGTCCAAACTTTAGCTGTTGGACTCCAGAACCCTTTGGTCTACAGAGGAGGTCCTGGTCCACTCAGTGACTGACAGGAGTCCAAACCGTCAGCCTCCACCACCGTGCTGGGAGGAGCTGTTTGCTGCAGTGCATTTTGGGTAACCATGTGTCCTTTGGTCTGGTTCTGGTCCAGAGATCTTGTGGTTCCTTCAGATGAAACCTTCCAAACCTAATGCCACGCTGTTTCTAAAGAGAAGCTGCCTTTAACCTACTAGCTGAGGCTATAGAGGCTCATTTCTCTGAGCACTGCACGGTCCGACCTTCGGGGTGAATCTCCTGTAAAGACGGTCAGTTGTCTTGAATGTTTTCCACTTGTGAATAACCTCATTTCTCTGTAGAATGATGGACTCCAGGTAGTTTGACCTTTGCTTCCATCCAGAGTGATGAGCAGCACCACTTGCTGATGTCTTTTCATACCTTTTTAGCTAATTTCAGCTCTTTTCAGATAAATTCAAGTTTTTCACGGTAATTTCTATTACTTTCAGCCTAATTAATTTATTTCTGCTAAGTTCAGCTTGTTATGCTCCTTTCAGCTTATTTCTGCTAATTTCAGTGTTTTCAGCTACTCTTTAGTGGTTTTTGTGCTAATTTGACTTTTTTTTTTAGTTAATTCCACATTTTTTGCACTCATTTACACTTTTTTTCAGCTGAATTTAGCAAAAATGTGTTCTCTCCACTTCCTTCTGCTAATTTAAGCTTGCTCTACCTTTTCAGCTACACTTTTAGCATTTTTAGCTAATTTCAGCTGTTTTTTTTTCCTGCTAATTTACTAATTTTTGTGCTAATTTCTGCTTGTTTAAACCATCTATCCAACCATTCATTATCTTTACCAGCTTCTTCCTTTTCGGGTCAAAGGGCTCACTGGTGTCCATGTCCAGCAGTCACTGTGCGAGTGGCGGGGGACACCCTGGACAGGTCTCCAGTCCATCACAGGGACACATAGAGACAAACAACCATTCTCTCACTCACACCTAGGGACAATTTAAAGTTACCAGTCAGTCTAACATGCATGTTCTTGGTCTGTGGGAGGAAACTGGAGTACCCGGAGAAAACCCACACATGCATTCAGCAAATATGTGTTCTTTCTGCTTTCTTCTGCTAACTTAGTCTAACTTGGTCTTGTTCTTCCATTTCATCTACATTTCAGAATTTTTTGACTCATTTCAGCTGTTTTTCAGCAAAAAGCATTTACACTACATTTTCACAGGAAATTCAATTTCTCCAGTTGGCATTTATAATGTACAGTATATGAATGTTTCTGTTCAGTGCCCTGAGATGATTTCTGTTGACTTGGTGCTGTATAAATACACTGAATTGAATCTTGGTGTTGAGTACTTGAGCACACTTGGTAGCAGCCAGTCTGGTGCAGTTTCACACTGACAGCAACATGGGGCATTCTGTTGTTCGTTTTTGTCCTCTTCAGTCAGATTTGACAAATTACCAGAAACCAGGTGTGTATCTGAGACGTCCAAACTGAGACCTGGAAGAGGCCAGACGTCTGAGTCCAGGACTATTCATGTTACTCAGAGCAGCTCCTCGTCCTCCTGGTACAAACTGGAGCGTTTTGTAAAATACATGGCAAGCTAAATAACAAGGCTCTGTGTTAATTTGGGATAAATTGTGTGTAATGTGTGGTGATTTAATCTAAAGAGGATGAAAATATCTAATCATAGAGAAAATATCTAATCATAGATGTTGTCCTGCGAAGACTTATTCACAGAGATAGTGTTTGGACCAGATTCAGTATGGTTCTGATTGACACACGAGGTGTTAGCCTAGCCTGGTTGAAGACTTCTCCATAGTCAAACTTTTAGTCTAAAATAAAATGTTACTTGGAATCTCTCAGCATCAGCTCCACCTCATTGTGTCTTTTCTGTCTTTCCTTCAGGCTCGTTTGGTAACCAGTCAGCTGAGCTGTTCTCCAACATCTCCTGTAACGAGTCCTCCAACACCTCGTCCTCTTGCTCTCTGGGGGACGATGAGGAGCAGAGTGCAAACCCGTATAAAACCCTGGAGATGTTCTTCATCGCGCTGGTGACCGGATCTCTAAGTTTCGTGACTGTTACAGGGAATATTCTTGTCATGCTGTCCATTAAAGTCAACCGACACCTGCAAACGGTCAACAACTACTTCCTGTTCTCGTTAGCGTGCGCTGACCTGATCATCGGTGTGTTCAGCATGAACCTCTACACTGTCTACATCATCGTTGGGTACTGGCCTCTAGGACCGGTGGTTTGTGATCTGTGGCTCGCTTTAGATTACGTGGTTTCCAATGCCTCTGTGATGAACCTGCTGATCATAAGCTTTGATCGGTACTTCTGTGTGACCAAACCCCTGACGTACCCCACTAGACGGACCACTAAGATGGCAGGACTGATGATCGCTGCAGCATGGATCCTCTCCTTCATTTTGTGGGCTCCGGCCATCTTGTTCTGGCAGTTCATTGTTGGGCAGCGGACTGTCCCACCTGGAGAGTGTTATATTCAGGTACAGTCTATGTCTCTTTTTATCTTTAAAGACATAAATTCATTTAACCTTTATTTAGACAGGTAAATCCCATTGAGCCTCGAGGACTCATTTACAAGAGAGACCTGAAAATAATTATAAAAATAATATAATAATAATATTAATAACATATGCTGAGGAATATGTCCTCACACCTCCTTTCATAACAGTTTAAGACTAAAACTGAAGTAGAACGTTGTTTGTTCAGAAGGCCCCGCAAGGATGCAGAGTGTTACTGAGTACAAAATGTTTTTGGGTCAAACTGACCTCCTCTTTCAGTAAAGGAAGACGTGTTTATTGTACAGGAAGAAATTTCTGGGCTTACGGACAGAAAGAGGGTCTGCTTGACAACTTTGCAATAATAAGCTTATGTTTATACAAGCCTCTGACATAAATAGAGGGTATAAAGGTGATCGAGCTAGTTTGAGTAAGGATGTTTTTCTTTTGGGTGTTCAGCTGTTCCATCTGGCCTTTGAGCTGTTTTTTTACACACAAAAAACAACAACTGGTTTTTGCTGTCATCACTGAACTCTAGTCATTGGTTTTATTTAATCATTGCAAGTTTAAATGTAGCTGAACCATTACATTTTGGTGCCCAATGTGGGGCTCAAACCCACAACCCTGAGATTAAGAGTCTCATGCTCTACCGACTGAGCTAGCCGAGCCATCTTATGATAAGAAATTATAAAATCAGAGCTGGGTTGGTGCAATTAATACATAGGGCTCTCTCATCTTGTGTGATATTTGAGCTTTTGGAGAGTGTGTTGAGAATGACTCTTAGCTACTACCACAACAAATCTTAGCTCGGTATCTGTAAAATTCATTGAAGTCTAGCTATCTTTGGTTGATTAGCTGTGGTGGCCATCATAAATTTTGTTGTTTTAAAAACATATTCAGTTGCAAATTTTTAACCTTTATTTAACCAGGCAAATCCCATTCAGATAACAGATCTCTTTTGCAAGGGAGGCCTGGGCCTGAAGGCAGCCCAACATACCATACCATACCATACCACTTTATTTATAGAGCACTTAAAACAGCAACGAGGCCAACCAAAGTGCTGTGCAAACATGCATGTTTTTGGTCTGTGGGAGGAAACCAGAGTACCTGGAGAAAACCCATGCAAGCACGAGAAGAACATGGAAACTCCACACAGAAAGACCCCAGGTCCAACCGGGGATTGAGCCCAGGACCTTCGTGCTGTGCGGCAACAGTGCTAACTACCGAGTCATTGTGCTGCCATGCAAATGTTCACCCAGTGAATATGTTATGGATGTTTCATTAAATTTGTCCAAGTAGTCCATGAGATATTTTGCTAACAGACAAACTGGGTTAGGTTCAAAGGGTAAACCTAAAGGTTTAAGTAAACATCAATGTGCTACACTCAAAATAAATGTTAGGGATGACTTTCATCTGCTACCACACCAGATTTTACTTCAGTGTCTGTAAATCTGAATGAGTTAAGCTCCCAGTATACTCCTGTGTCCTGTCAGCCGCACGGAAACTGTGCGCCCTGTCCGTAGAGGGTTGAGACTTCATGCTCGAGCGTCCACCCTGAGCGGCTGCAGAGCAGCTCCGCAGACAAGGGGCGGTTACCTTCGGGACAAACTGAGGTCGCCGATTGGTCATTTGCTGACACACTTACTGGATTGATTGACAGATGGAAAAAAATGAATAAACAAGAGCTGGCAGCTCCAGCTGCAGTGGTGTTCTGTGTTTATATGTTATTAATAAAAAGTTCTAAAAAAAAAAAAAAACGGGGAGCGCTGGCCCTGCAGCCCACACATCAGACCAGCCCACCAGGAAACCTCCAGACCCTCCTGCAACCACGCTGGACCTGATTTTAATTCGCTCGTGACAAATTCCTTCATTTCTCACCATTTCAGTCATGGCTTCAACGGAGGAGGAAGAGATCGCCTGCTTTTTGGCAAAAAAACTAAAGAAAAGGCCAGATCAGGGATCAAGAAGAGGAATTTAATAGATTGGTGTCTCATACAAAACAATCCGTTGCCGGGCAGTTTATTGTGCGACACCGAGTACGCAGTCGTAAAAATTGAGCGGCGGGCGTCTGCTTGAACTCTAATTCGGTACGTGTGGACCTCTGCGGACTGACGTACGCGGGAGTATACTGGGGGCTTTAGAGAGGTTTTGTGTTTTCTAAATGTTGGCTATGGCAGCCATCTTGAATTGGACTGACTCAATACAATCTGAAACATGACCTTCGCCTCCTACAGCAGCAGCTGATAATAAGGGTTACAGCCAACCAAGAGGCATGTTCTAAAGAAAGTTCTTTCCTTTTCTCAAGTACAGTTTGTTATAAACTTTAAAACAGCAGAGAACACAGTTTATATAAAACCCATATAACAGCGGAGGTCTTTCCGTAGATCAGATGACAAGTAGAGACAGAATAAAATACGAGTTACTGACATGCTTGACAGAGGCAGGTAACCCAAAAACAGAAACCATTTGAAAGAAATGAGGACACAATGATGAGCTGTTTTCAGGATGAGGCAGAGTAACTCAGAAGTAAAATGTAAAAGTCAAATCAAATCAATCTGATCCGCTGCTTTTGGACACCCTGAAAACTCGTCTGAAGCTCGGAGGCTCCCAAACGTTGAAACAATCATTTTAACTCCTAGTCTAAATAAAGCCGTGCCCCTCTGACTCTCTACCTCAGTTATTCAAGGGGAACCGCTGAGAAATCAAGTGGTACCACAATGTCCCCCATCACAGGGATTTCAACAGTGAATGTTTCTAGTTTTGGGGATTAGAGTTTTTCTGAACTAGAATTGAACAGAGAATGCAACATTAATGTTTTTGGTGCAAGATATTCAAGTGGGAAGGAGTTACATTGTAGAGAAGAACAGCGATAGCTTTTATTTTAATTTTAAGAGCAATTTTATTCACCATCAGATGCAATGGCAGAGCCAGGGGGGAGCTAATGGTGGCCTTGACCACAACATATCAATCTTTCACCACCTCAATCATTTGAGGAACCATACGTTTAAGCAATATACAAACTAGAATGCATAGTTTCCTCAAACGATGGGGCTGGCTGGTTTACAAATGGTGGCCATCATTGATTTTGATATGAAAACCCCATTTCTTGTTGTGATCTTTCTCATGCATCATATGCAGCCACACACCAAAATGGAAGTGGGCACATTGCTTATTTTCCAGTTACTGAACTCACAACGTAGACAGAAGGACAGATGTATGGAAGGAGGAACAATTCCCTGTCTTTGCTCCGTAATGGGGGAGAATTAAAACAGATCTAATTTAGGTTGAAGGGTGTGGTTTAAGATGTGATGCTTCTATGCATTATTTACAAAAAAAAAAAAAAAAGCCCAAAGACACTGCAGGAAAGGGTCTCTCTTTGCTCCACAAGTAAATATAAATTTATTTATCCTCTAAAGGCAATTCAGTTTGGCAGTTTCCAGATTTACATTCACACACACATACATATGGTCATATACCGAAAAGCAATGACTTTTTAAATAAAAAAAATACATATTGCACAATAACAAACCAACAGAGATCAGCATCACAGTTGTTGTGGTAAAGCTGCAGGAATAACTCAGAGCTGCCATCAAGGTTCATCAGCCTGATGGCAGTCTAACGTAGCTTTAACCAAATAAACTCTTTATTTTGCACATTTATTGCTCTCAGGTTCTGTAGAAATTGGACTGGTTCTGCTTCAGAAGCACCATCTTTCACGTTGATTCTACGTGGGCTTATCAAATGATTCTTTATTACAGTGTTTGTTTCAAGATAGTAATTTGCTTGAACATCTCAAATGAAGCTTGTGATGGGTTATTAGCTTGTTATAAAATTTGTAATTAGTTGGTATCATTGTTTCCTCTGAGTACCACATGAGGGATCCTGAGTACCCGCGGTGGTACTTGGAGCACAGTTTGAGAACGCTGGATCTGTGTGGATTAAAGCTCTCAGGTATTTTCAGCTGGACCTGGTAAATGCTTGGCTTCTACATACGTGAAGAGCTGAGTAGACGTTTTTGTCCTGTGGTTTCTCTGGTGAGTTACGTTTATGGAGAGACTCAGAGTTTGATGAACCTCCTTTCTGGAGTATCACCCCTGGTGGGAGGACTTTTCAAACAACCACAGAAAACGACAAATGAATAAAAACAATAAAACTAGAGGTTGGAGCAGCCAGTTTTGGTTACAATCCACAGTTTAATGAAACAAAGAGAATCGAACAGGAGAGGCAAGGCAACGGTGGCCTAGACCACCAGAGATTAATCTTCAGTTGAGGAACTTTTATGTTTAAGCAATATATATATATATATATATATATATATATATATATATATATATATAGATATTTATATATATATATATATATATATATCATTTACCCTTTATTTATCCAGGTAGTCTCATTGAGCCACGAGAACTCATTTTCAAGAGAGACCTGTTTAGGGAGTAGATGGTGGGGGTTAAGGGCCTTGCTCATGGGCCCAGAGTGGGGCGAATGAGGTTGGGGGCAAGTGTGGGTGCTTCACCTACCCCACCCACGTTTTTGATGTTGTTGGTACTGGGGCATGAATCTTCCGATCACAGGCCCACCTTCTCTAACCTCTGCGCCACCACTCCCCCCATAATAAATAATATAAACCCCCAATATAAACACTAGAAAGCAAAGTTTCCTCAAATGATTCAGGTGGCTGGTTTACATACAATATGTATTTCCTACGGGAACAATAAAGTTCCACCTTATCTTATCTTATCTTATCTTATCTTATCTTATCAGAATCAGAATTCATTGCACTGAAGTACAATGAAATTACATTTCAGTACAGCCCGTCCACGTAAAACACAAACAAACAGGCTGGGTAGACAGAGGTGTCTGAGGCTGTAGCCTCGTGGGAGGCACTGCCCTTTTCATTTAGATAAGGAAAAGAGAACCACGAGGGAAGAGGAGGTGTAAAAAAAAAAATCATATCTCACACCGTGTCCTAGATAGGA